ATCGAATGAAAACAGCACTAAGAAATAGACTTTCCACGGAAACAATCATCAATCACTCTTTTACATACTAAACGAAATTAATAACTTAAAGCAAAACACGGCTGGATTTTAGTCTTTAAGTTATACCTGCCCCCCACTACGCCAAATCACCAGTTGTGACGTAGGCGGCACGTCGTTTCTCGCCTTGACGTAGGCTATTTGCATCACAGGTTATGATTCCGCGGTCTTTTGCCTTATGCATACTTGGTCTTACTACATTAATAGGTATTTAACATTAACAGCCCCTGTTCAGATCTCGTTTGCATTATTCCTCTTTGCCTATTATGTTAATCAAAATTAAATGATATATTTTTCATCATAAACTTAAATTCTAAACTAGGACCGCTGGCGCAAACCGCTGACGATTTAGTTAATGACGTCGGCAATGGTGATACACCAATATAGCTGCGATTACCGAAAACGAAGCCGATAAGCAATCCTTAGTAGTGTGTATTATCCTTGTGTTATACCTACCTATTTTGCGCAGTAATCTACCGATTTTCAACGTTAGTTTCTCCCGATTTAGTATTTTGACGTTCGATAACACTGGTCGGTTTCCATTACTTCTCAGGACGCACATCAATTGCATGTTAAAGAAAATAAATAAGTAACCATGAAAAAACAAAATACGAGGTCGAGTCGAAAGACATTTATTGTAAAAAGTAATCCAACATAAGACGCTTTTATCCAAGCTAGTACGCCAATGCTGAATGAAAAAGATAACAAATTCCAGATAAAAGATGAACAGCAGTATTTGCTAGCATCATATACCTAGCATTTTGAAAAATACCAATTTTTAAGTTCTTCCCACCAAACCAAAAAATGCTCTTCGTGTTACGCCACTGGAATACACTCCTGTATCAAGAGTAGTAACTTGGATTTGTTCATTAAATTGTTTAATTGCATAGTATAATTTAATTTATGAATTCGGTTTTAATTACATAATGTCAAAAGCAAATTTTTTCTGCATGCCACTGTAGGCAATACGTTCAATGAGTGCTTCAATCTTTTCTCGGGGCCAAGAAATTCTACTTCATGCAAAAGTATGAGAAAAAATACCTATTCTCAAGCTAAACTCCCGAATACCGCAACTCGATATCTCTTTCCGTTCCGCAAATATCGAGATTTTCATTTGGGTAAAATTGTTCATGTTGCAAATAGCTGAGTCAATCTGGGGGGTCAGGGTGCAACAAATTAGCAACAAGCTGATTCCAGCGGGAATGTTTAGTAAGTGACCTCTTGTTTAACCTCCCAAAAGTCCCATTCAGTCCTAGAGGTGGGAGGTTGAAAAAAATGGCCACCATCTTGGATTTTGTTGTTTTTTTCAAATATCTCAGTTTGTATTAGTTTTTTTACGAAAACTCAAGAAACCTTTTTTGTGGAGAATTTAACTCTCTATAAAAAGTGTTTATACCTTTTTCTTTGAACATAAAGGATAACGGAGATACAGAGCTTTTTATAGTAAATATTTCAAACATTTTACTTTTATCCCTTTCGAAATGTTTAGAAGAAGTCTAAGGTTAAATAGAGAACGAAAACGATTTCCCCTATTCCACCTCCAGCAAAAAACGCTGGGAATGTTAGAAGTGGAACAGAGGAAATCGTTTTCGTTCTCTATTCAACTTTAGACTTTCTTTAGACATTTCATCCTATCGCATTAAAATTGATACCTACAGGGGCGCCCGCAGAAAAATATGTAGGGGGGGTCAAAATCAATTGAATAAATTTTTTATGCGTAAAAAAGGGCACTTAAGTCTAAATTATCATTTTAGAAGCAGAATCAGAATTTTAAATGCAACATTTGCAAAGCAAAATTTAAAAAAAAGGCAGTTTGAAGAGACACAAACTAACACACTTGAACGAGAAAAATTTTAAATGCAACATATGCAATGCAAAATTTAGAGAAAAATTTAAATTAGGAAAATTTAAACAAAAAGGTAATTTGAGAAGTCACATATCAACAAACTTCGATAGTTATCTTTTTGAATGTGACATTTGCAAAGCAAAATTCAAAGGTAAAGACTGTTTAAAGAGACACAAACTAACACAGTCTGATATTTATCCTTTTAAATGTGACACATGCAATGCAAAATTTGAACACAAACGTAGTTTGAGAAGCCACATATTAACACACTCGGATGAGGAGAATTTCAAATGTAACATTTGCAATGCAAAATTGAAAAGAGAAGGCGATTTGAAGGAACACATATTGATACACTTGGATATTTAATTTTTTTGAATGGGACATTTGCAAATCAAAATTTAAGCGGAAACGCGATTTGAAGATACACAAACTAACACATTGGGTTATTTATCCATTTGAATGTGACACTTGCAAGGCAAAATTTGAAGAAAAGTAATTTACAAAGGCACATTTCAACACACTCGGATATTTATCCTTTTGAATGTTACACTTCAAATTCAAATTCATTTATTCCAGGTGTATAGTACAGTAAATTACATAGTATTTTTACCCTGCAAGAGACAAGAAGTCTGTGCACAGGCCCGGTACTGAAAACTAAAGATCCTTGCAAATCAAAATTTAAATGGAAAGCCGATTTAAAGATTCACAAACTAACACATTTGGATATTTATCCATTTGAATGTGACACTTGCAATGCAAAATTTAAGCAAAAACATAATTTGAAAAGCCACATGTTAACACACAGATTGTTTATTATTTGATTCACTCAATAGTGACATGTGTTTAGCTCCGGGATCCTTGAACTCAGCCACAAAATTCACCAGTTCCGGAATAAGGAAAGGGTGACAATTTATCAATATGCAAATCGGTACACTGAGATATAGATATTAAATCAACTTATTTACTTCTTATAAATAGCTAAAATCCCAGGCATGGTAGAGGAAGATCTAAAACTTAGGCTTAAGCATTGAATATAAAAAAAAATAGTCAGAAATCGGTAAATCGTTACATAATTGTTTTGGAATGATGTTTTTGGAGAATCAAGAAGTTAGCGATTTATTTGTTTTCGAGTTGTTAGCTATTCAGCCGAATCACGAAGTTCTAGTTAAATTTTCAGATTATCTCATCGACACATATGGCACATGCCTCGATAGACCTGGATAAGACAACAAATGCCTGTGAATCTTTCCATAGTCATTTTGGTAGATCTTTTTATTTTGCGCATCAAAATACATATTTACACTTTTTTAGATTTATTAACTCATATGCAAGGCGAAATCTGTCAACATCATAAGGTAAGTTTTATGGGAAGTAGGTTGGGTTTCATTATTTGGTCGAATTCAAAGGTAGGATTACTGCAGCTACCTGGTGGCCGATCCTCGGGCCAGGGAGTAGAGCTCCCCGAGAGAACAAATTTTTCGTCTTTATCATTCTTGTTCACTTTTCGATATAGTTGACAGGGACAAAACATTCGTTCTATCGGGGAAGCTCTACTCCCTGGCCCGAGGATCCGGCCACTGGTTTGTGGCCGAATTCAAGTATGCCCGTTTCGCTCATACGAGCATCATCGGACCTACAATATAATATATATAGAAAATAATTAGAATTTAAGAAATTTCCAGGGGGGGTCGAGTGACCCCCCCCTGACCCTCCCTGTGGGCGCCCTTGGATACCTATGCAAGATGTTTACTTGCCAGGCGTGTATAGGACTTGGACATGGAATGCAATAAGTTCCTTATTAGAATCCAGAATGTCTTTGCAGGTGCCTTCCAGCCCATTCCGTTTTCAATACCATCCATAGTGAGCTGGCCATTGACAGGCACACAATTCTGATTGGATAGCACAACTCTTTGGTTGGTTTTGAGCTTTTCCATTTCTGCTTCGAATTCGTGAAGTCTTGAGCTCAACCCCGACAGTGCTTGGAACAGTCCATATAGCTTGGACAAAAATATCTTAGGCAGCGTTCTTTCATTATGAGAACTCGGATCTCAGAGCTCCTTACTCCAGAGCAATTTCTGCATAAAATCTTGCGACAAATGTCGCATAAAATCTTGCGACAAATGTCACATGGTTAGCCAAAAAGCTAATTTTTGTCCTCCTTTTGGAAGCAGGCTTTATCACAGGTAGAATCATATCAGGATTGATTATGGTAGGAATAAAATTTAATACAGAATGTTTATTTGGCTTAGGCCCGGTTTATTCATCTTCAGATAAACTTGCTGGTAGCTATCTGCAAGATAAATTTATTGTTCTATTATTCTATTGGTTGGCGGATAACTGGCCGACCAATGAGATTGCAAATTTTTGTGCTATACAATTTATCTTTTTTTCTATTTGTATTTGAGTCCCAATAATTAAACTGGATTTGTTGGCTCACCATGAATGAAGTCCAGAACAATTTTTACAAGGTTGAAAAGAACACAATTTCACAAACAAAATGACTCCACACACGATCAATATGACCAATAGAGACCTATAAAACCTTGCAATTTATACGGAGCGAATATACTACTTACTTTGGTATAAAAAAAACCATATCTCCGTTATCCTTCATGTTATAAAAAAAAACGTACAGACACTTTTTATAGAGAATTAAATTCTCCACAAAAAAGGTTTCTTGAGTTTTCTCGAAAAAACTAATAGAAACTGAGATATTTGAAAAAAACAAAAAAATCCAAGATGGCGGCAATTTTTTTCTACCTTCCACCCCTAGGACTGAATGGGACTTTTGGGAGGTTAAATAGGAAGTCGGTTACTAAACATTTCCGCTGAAATCAGCTTGTTGCTAATTTGTTGCACCCCCACCTATGTTATGCAACTACGTTTATCCTACTAAAAGCAACTATCCACCAGTTTATTAGGCGAGTCATAACAACTATAAGGAAATTTACAAGTGAAATCATCATTCCACTAACAGGGCTATATTTTATTTAATGAACTTTGTAGCGTCGTAAATATGCAAAACTTAATTAAGGCCAGAGTAACTTTAATCAATGCTGAAAATTAATTAAAGGACAAAATCCAACAGAATTAAAAGACTAAAAATATCTCTTATTATGGAAGGTATTTTGTAGTTACCTTAGTTGAGCCGTCTTTAGTAATACTCTTTTGTCAGCTCTCAACAAAAATGATCATTTCTTTATATTTAATTGGTTTTTGTACGTGTGCATTTTATCTGCATTTTGTTTATCGCAACTGGCAATATCTCAAGTTTTCTTGGCAAGTGAAAAACGGCTTTTGGTACCCTATATTGCCTCTGGTTGGTACTACGTACGTCAGCTTGTTTGCTGAGTCAAGTAAGTGATATGGTACCCTATGTTTTTGGGCAAATTTTGTCTTGAAGTTCTGTTATCTTTTATCACATTGTTTTAGGCACAAAAAATACATTAGAAAAAAATTCTCTAGTTCAAATACTGTTTCAGCGATAAGCTCTTGAAATTAAATTTTGATTTTTTCAAATTTCAATGCTGAATATCTTCATTAACCTAGATGCAAATGTTTGTTCTTCTATATGAACACAGGAAATTAGCGCATTATTTTGAAGAAAATCAGTTTCAGTAAGGACAACAATAATGACGCCTAGCTGAAACATTAACAAAGAAAATTGAATTGATTAAGACTAAAGATTTTTGAGTAAAACAGGAGTTTGAAATAGGCATAGAACAACTAAAACAAGATGTTTTTTGTTAATGTTTTCATTAGTCTTTATTTTCTCTGCCTTAAAACTTTTTCGCAATAAACATATTACAAGGGTTTCCTGCTACTTTCCATTTGCAAATAAGTGTGGTAAAGTGCACTTTACCGCACGCTCGTAGGTACAGTTTTTTAAGGTCGATTTAAAGAAAAACGCTCGGACACGTCATTTTTGTGTTCAAGGGGAAAACTTTTGAACCTCATCGCTGAGTGGGATGACTGCCACCCCTCTTTTTTAGATAGAGCGTGTGTGGTACCTTGTTTTTAAAGTATTTTGATTCTCGTCACAAGTGCGTTTTTTTTTTTGATAATCGAATGATAAGATCCAAAGATATTCACTGTTAAGGTTGTCATGGGCCAAATAAGAAACAATTTTTGCAGCCCTGTTATTATCAAATTAACACTTTCCCTTTCCTTCCAGAAAAAAATGAAAATTGACGTGGGGGTCACCCTATAGCGAAATACCAATGGGGTCAAAAAGTCTCCCTCTTGAATCAGCCTTTTTTTCAAATCGATATTAAAATACCCTAAAACGCCTGTGTCGATGTTCGTGGAATACCCTAGCTCTCCTAATTCATTACTATAAGTACGTAACATGTTTCTTTCAGTAATATTCTCACTAATGTCAACCATTTTAGGGTTTTATTCAACTCATAAATTAGGTACAACGGAAATAAATAAATATGTGTATACTTATTTTATTAAATACTATTTAAATAAATTCACAATTTAATTTTTTTTTCCATAACTTGTAACATTTGATTAAATATCGATTGGGTACCTCCCAAGAATCATGCATTTTAATTTGTTTACTTCTTACTCGAACTAAGCAATTTGAATTCAATTTCCCAAGACAATTATATAAAAATTGTTTTCTCACTTATAAAAATTTAAGCTTTCATTAGCAAACATTGGGAATTTTACAATAATTTTAGACATTTTTACTGTAGTGTTAATTGATTTAAATCCATAGAAATTGAATTTCTAAAATTCCAAGCGCACCTGATATTTCTTTTGTTATAAACTATCACTGCGTTTTTATTCTCATCAAATTTTACGGATGGATTTATCATTCTATGTCGGTCATTGTCATTTTCCATTCACTACTCAAAGATCTGAATTCCAATTATTGAGGTTTTCTGAAATAGGTACATTATTTGTTGTTACGAGCAGTGTTGCCAGCGCCGGCCTTAGGGGGGTGCAGAGGTGCTAACTGCAGCCGGCGGCAAAATTTAAGAGGCGGTAAATTGAGAAAATTAATCTAAATAGAAATCAAAAAAAATAAATAAAAATCGAACGGTATTCAGAATAATATTTATGAGGAATGTTATAATTATTTATCAGGCCGGTAATGTAATTAGCAACATCGCCAATATTGCACCGGCAACCCTGCTTTCTTCGCTTCCTTTCCCTTCCATCTTCATCAAAATACCAGAATGTTAGGTATTGTTACGAAAAAGTATCCATATCGCGGCGCCGGGTTTCCCAGAAATTCACGGGCAGTGCACTTTTTTCTAGAATTCTATTACCTAAGTATATTCGATTCGATGTTTTTCTGTGTGAAAAGAAAGATGGTGCTTTTTGAGAATGACAAAAATTTAAAAGAAACAGGAGAAACGCAATAAAATCTTGACTCAGCGTCTAGATGCTCTGTTTATTGAGGCCTGTACGTCTAAAGACAGAAGGAGCGAATTCCAATCAGATTAATTGAAACACTATTTAGAGCCGGTTTATTCACTTTCTGAATTGTCAGATAGGTATGCAATCTGGCGGATAAAAACACGATCCTTAATCGGCCAGTTATCCGCCGACCAATAGAATGGGCCACTTTCACATTTTTCAAAAACATATTTAAATTATTCTTTTAGTCATTCTAATACTATCTGTATACTTTTTTTCCGAAAAAAAAACTCTTATTTTTGAAAAAAAAAAACTTAAAAATCGAATTTTTGAACTGGCGCGAAAACACGAACTTGGTTTTTGACGTCACAAACCAGAAAATCAACAAAAATGCGAGGATGCCACATTTCTCATTAGTAAATCATTACACATTTCACTAGCTAGAAACTATTTTCGTCCTTCACTACATTATAAAAAAATAAAGGATAGGTATAATCCTTATTAACTCATTTAAATTTCGCATTTCTACGCATATGGCAACAAAAACGTCAAAATCGGCTTTAGCGAATCAGAGAGCGTTTTCAATCACGTGATTTTTCGTTTAAATTTTTAGTTTTTATTTATCGATTTATTTAATAATCCGACTAAAATCTTGCAAAATATTGTTCGTTCTCGGTTGCATTGATGTATCTGCGTCAAAAAATATCATAATTTGCCATATTCCCGGCACGTGAAAGTGGCCCATTATAGAACGGTTAATTTATCTTGCAGATAGTTACCAGCAAGTTTATCTGACGTTGAATAAACCGGGCCTTGCTATATACCGGGTGCCCGAGAGATTACTTTCCGGCTGCCATTTTTTTATTTGTTTATCGATATCAACGAAACTTGGTAGGCTTGATATTCTAATAAAACGCCATTTTTATGCATTTATGATAAGTTTTCCTGACTTCCGGTTTCACCGAAAATGACCAAAACTTTCAAATGGCACACCCTGTATATTTTTTGTTTTTTGGATTCTACAGATTGTTTTACGTCCTAATGTACCACCTTGAAATCAGGTTTTGTCCAAATTTTGTTTTGAAATTAAATTTTATGTCCGATTGACCAATTAAGTGCTATTTATTAGGGATGTCAAGTTTTTTTAAAACACCGGTTACCGGTTAATTTAATAACAGTTTTAACTGCCCGGTTATAACTGATATAAAACACCGGTTATTTCGATTAACTGGTTGATCAGTTATTTTCCCGAATTTCATCAGAATCATTGCATAATTTATACTATGATGTGATATAAGTTGAACAACATCTTTATTGTAAAAAAAATCGGGAACTGTTATATGTGAAGAAAAAGCATCAAAAGCCGTGTTTGTTTTTGTCATCTTTTTCGTTAATTTGCTCCGAAATTTTAACAGGCACGTGATTTGTAAATTGAAACTGTCTGATCTAGTCACGTGCCTATCAAAATTTCGGAGCAAATCGACAAAAAAGATGACAAAAACAAACATGGCCGAAGAAATACCTACACTTTTCTAAACTGATATTATTATTTCTCTTCTGTCATTTTAAACATGTAGGCGTTGACATGTACCTCAACCTACATGTCTTTTTCAATTCCGTTCATCAGGGAAAGATGGGAAAACAACCAGCTGCTGAACGAAATAACCGAAATTGGGATGAAATACTAGAGATGGGCATTACTATTGGTTGAAGACTGATGAAATATTCGAATGTTGTCGTTTATTCAATATTTTAGAATTTATTTAATAAAACGAGAGAAAAGTCTACTTATTTCACTTTCACCGGTTATTAGGTATAAATCCCGGTTAACCGGTTATAACTGGAAGCAAAAAACAATTGGTTTTAACCGGTTAACCGAAGAGAAAACACCGGTTTTTCGGTTTTAACCATCGGTTATTGACATCCCTACTATTTATAGAACAGTTTTGCGTCAATAAAGTAGCACTTTATTGTACTAGTAAAATAAAGTGCTAGTTTATTGCCTACCTAGACTACCTGCCAAGGTGAAACAGGTCTTGACAACCTGCCAAGGTGAAACAGGTATACCTACGCGAATTTTACTTTTTTCATTAGATTTTTTTAATTTTTAACAAAAACCAGTCGCAATCGTACATAAAATCATGTATATAACACTTACATAAACAGGCTTTATCGCAAGCTCGCTCGGCCATAAAATTATTCGTACAATAAAGCCTTACTTTATGTACTTGTTATACAGTGTGTCCGAAATTCGAGTCTCTATACGGGGATCTCGCTTATTATGAGAGATACAGGGTGGCTCAAATTAGGAAAGTTTTAAAGAATTTATTGCTCATTTATATCCTGTTGTTGAATTTGCTCCAAAGTTTTCTGTTCCCTAGAAATCCGAGAAAAACTGAAAATAGCCAATTTTGTTTTTTGTCAATAATTCATAAATCGTTAACTTTAGACTTTTCTCACTTTAACATTATTATGACACTTTTTTGAGACAGATATTTTCGTGATTTGAAAACATTCCGATCGTCTTTTGTTTTCGAGTTATAAACAAAAATTTTCTTATTTCTTATGGCGGCCATCTTAGATTTCAACAAAATAATATTCTGCGAAAAAAATCCTTTAAATTGATGTATTACAAGCTATGAAAAAGTTTTGCAAGTCCTTCAAAATACAGTTGGAAGCGATTTTTTGCTAAATTTGGCAACACTGCTCATAATTATGAGAATAAAAGCAAATAAGTAATAAGTAAAGTCTGTTTTTTTTGAAGATAAAGGCTGAGATTGACATTATGTTGGCAATACAATGTAAAATTGTCAATGCTTTCAATTTTTTTATGTAGAAAAGGCTTGTGTTGCCAACATTGTTACTAAATTTTTGACTTGGGGAATTATTAAAAAAAAAAAAAACAGATTTTAGGATTTAATATTAGGATCGGTATTTTTGAAGTCTTCTGGCAATTTTACTGAAAAAAAAAGAAATAAGGCGA